TTGCAGAAGTGATGGCTGAATACCAGCAGGAGGACAGGGTAATCCCTGAGCAACAGAGTGCAGCAGATGGAGCTGAAAAAGAAGAGTTCCGGAGAGAGGTGCAGTTCAGGCTGTCCTTTTATGGAGAGAATCCAACAACGGATATTATATCCAGGACAATGTCAGAGGTACAGGAGTTTATACTGCGCCAAAGGCCACTACAGCAGCTGGAGAGGAATGCTACCACAACTACCATCACACAGGGTAAGACAAAAATCCCTTACCAAGCTTTTAAAACCTATATAGAAGCAGAGGAAGATATAGATGCTTTTCTCCAAGACTTTGAAAGGCTGTGTGCCTTGCATAATATTAGCCCAGATGAGTGGGTGCCTATTTTAGCAGGGAAGCTCACAGGGAAGGCGGCGGAAGCCTATAGAACTGTACCTGATGAGGAAATTCGGAATTACCGCCGAGTAAAAGAAGTGATCCTGGCCCGATATGCAATCACGCCAGAGGCATATCGGCGACGGTTTAGAGACCTAAAGAGAAATGACAAGGACTCTCATGTGGAATGGGCTTGCAAGTTGCATCGGGCCGCTCTGGGGTGGGTACAGTCTAATAAGGCTCGGTCCATGGAGGACTTATTGCAAATGGTGTTGTTGGAGCAATTCTATGAGGGGGTAACAGGCGAGGTCCAGGAATGGGTGAGGGACAGAAACCCTACCTCCCTTACCGAAGCTGCTAGGAAGGCCGATGAGTACTTGGATGCACGCAGGCAGCAGAAACCAGCAGCCCCAAAAGCTATTTTTAAAACCTTTGGGGGAAACAGCTACAACCCAGCTCCACCGAGGCAACTACCACCACCACCACCCGCTGTACAGCCCCGGTTTCGCCAGCCCGCTTCTGGCCCCTGTCATCACTGCCAGAAGTGGGGACATTATAAAAGGGAATGTCCCCAGCTGAGGGATCGTTCTACCTGGATTCGCCCCGGCCCACCACCACCACCACCGAGAGCAGCCGCCGCCCATCACTACCAAAATATAGTGGCCACACCATATGGGTCAGCTGTTCCCATAACAACCGTGGAACAGTGGGAAGTACTACACGAGGCGGATCCAGTCCAGGCCAATGCTGATAACAGACAGCATCACAGGTAGACCGTATACTTGGAGGGTAAAGCAGTACAGGGCCTACGTGATTCGGGGGCTACCATCACCTTGGTCAAAAGTCATCTGGTCTCGGATGAAGCGAGACTAAGTAAAACTGTGGCCGTCAGGGTAGCCGGGGGAGCAGTGTACCGGCTACCTACAGCAAGGGTACATTTACATTGGGGAGCGGGGGCAGGACATGTGGAGGTGGGGTTGATGCCGCAGTTACCGGCGGAGGTTTTATTGGGGAACGATCTGGGGAGGCTCACATCTGCTTTTGAGCCCCAGACGTCCACCACAGGAGAAGCTCATCCTGTGGTCACCCGTCAACAGGCCCGCACCCAGGACTACAACACACTTCCGGAGGTTCAGGTAAGAGACCCTTCCCCTTCCCTTGACTGTGTCCCCTGGGCCCCTCCTAACGAATTCGCAGCAGAGGTAGTGACTGACCTCACCTTGCAGGTATACAGAGACAACGTGACAGCAGACCCTCCGGGGGGAGAGGGGGAGAGATTTGTCTGGGACAAGCAGCTTTTGTACAGGGAGACAGACAAGCAGATTGAGGGGTCAGACCCAATAGTGACGAGGCAGCTAGTGGTGCCGCAGCGGTACCGAGCAGAGCTACTCCGGATAGCGCACGATATCCCGCTATCCGGACATCTAGGGGTCAGCCGTACTAGGTATCGACTGACCCAAAATTTCTTCTGGCCAGGGATCAGCCAGGAAGTGCGCCGGTATTGCACCACCTGCGACACCTGCCAGAGGGTAGGGAAAAGGGGAGACCGGAGGAAGGCAAAGCTACACCCCTTGCCAATAATTGAGGAACCGTTTAGCAGAATAGCGGTAGACTTGATAGGTCCCCTCAAGAAAGCCAGCCCGTCAGGCAAAAGGTACATTTTAACGGTAGTAGACTATGCTACCAGATATCCAGAGGCGGTGGCTCTGACCAACATTCAGGCTGAAACGGTCGCGGATGCCCTCATGCAGATATTCTCCCGGTTGGGATTACCCAGGGAGATTATCTCGGATCAGGGTACCCAATTTACCGCAGAATTCACCCAACACCTCTGGAGGATCTGTGGCATTAAGCCTATTATCAGTGCCCCTTACCACCCCCAGACTAATGGGCTCTGCGAACGGTTCAATGGCACATTGAAACAAATGCTCCGAACCTTCGCAGAGACCCACAAGGACTGGGAGCGGTTCCTGCCGCATCTCCTATTCGCTTACCGGGAGGTGCCGCAGGAATCCACGGGGTTCTCCCCGTTTGAACTGCTGTTTGGGAGGAGGGTCAGAGGCCCCTTAGATCTTATAAGAGAGCATTGGGAGGGAGACCGGAGCGCAGATGGCACCCCCATCATACCATATGTGTTGGCTCTCCGAGACCGCCTGGAAGCCTTAACCAGGACGGTAAGGGAAAACCTTCAGGCGGCACAGACTCGCCAGCGCACATGGTATGACCGGGGAGCCAGGGACCGTAGCTTTCAGGTCGGGCAGAAAGTGCTAATTTTAAAGCCTGTCCGACATGACAAGCTACAGGCCGCCTGGCAGGGACCTTATAGGGTGGTGGAACAGAGATGTGACACCACCTATATAATTGGCTCCTGTACAGGGACGGGAGGGCGACGCATGCTCCATGTGAACATGATGAAGCCCTACCAAGCGCGCTCCGAGGAGGTAACCGCCATATGCGCGCCCAATTCAGATGAGTCTGACAGCTTACCACTCCCAGATCTGCTGGAAGATGGGCAGCTGTCTGGGGATTTAGGGGAAGTCACACTGGGAGACCGGCTGAGCCCACAGGAGCGCATCGAGGTACAGCAGCTGTTGGAAGAGAAACGAGACACGTTCTCTAACGTACCTGGGTACACCCCTCTGGCCACTCACCGGGTAGAGACCCCAGGGCAATTACCGATGCGTCAGACCCCCTACCGCATCCCCGAAGCGGTAAGGGAAAACATGCGCAAGGAGATCGATGAGATGCTCCAACTGGGGGTGATTGAGCCCTCAGATAGTCCCTGGGCTTCTCCGGTAGTACTCGTACCGAAGCGGGACGGTACGACCCGCTTCTGCGTAGACTACCGGAGATTAATCGAGAAAACGGTGTCCGATGCATACCCTATGCCACGGATAGATAAGCTACTGGACAGAATGGCCAGGGGTCAATACCTCACTACCATTGACTTATGTAAGGGGTATTGGCAAATCCCCCTGGCCCCAGAGGCCATCCCGAAATCGGCCTTTGTCACCCCATTTGGCTTGTACCAGTTTAAGGTCATGCCATTTGGGATGAAAAACGCCCCAGCTACTTTCCAGCGGATGGTAGACCGACTCCTGGATGGGTTCCAAGACTACACCTGTGCCTACCTGGACGATATTGCCATTTTTAGCAATACGTGGCAGGAGCACTTGGCCCATATAGGAGCGGTTCTAGACAGGATTAAGGAAGCTGGTTTGACATTGAAACCGGCCAAGTGCAGCATAGGGATGGCCGAGGTGCAGTACCTCGGACATAGAGTGGGTTGCGGCAAACAGAAGCCCGAACCAGCCAAGGTAGAAGCCGTGGCCCAGTGGCCCACTCCTAGGACTAAAACCCAGGTGTTAGCCTTTCTAGGGACCGCTGGGTATTACAGGAAGTTTGTCCCTAACTATAGCGCCCTCGCCAAACCTCTCACTGACCTTACTCGGAAGAATTTGCCCCGCCAGGTGACCTGGACCCCGGAGTGTGAGCAGGCATTCCAACATCTGAAAAATGCACTGATAAATGCTCCTGTCTTGGCAGCTCCCAATCCAACTAAGCGTTTTCTTGTTCACACAGACGCTTCTATGTTTGGATTGGGAGCAGTACTGAGCCAAGTCGGAGCCGATGGCGGAGAACACCCCGTGGCTTACATCAGTCGCAAGCTGTTACCCAGAGAAGTAAGCTACGCCGCCATCGAGAAGGAATGCCTGGCTGTGGTGTGGGCCTTAAAGAAACTACAGCCGTATCTATATGGACAGCCTTTTTCGTTACTCACGGATCACAACCCGTTGGTCTGGCTAAACCGGGTGGCTGGGGACAATGCCAGGCTGCTGCGCTGGAGTTTGGCGCTGCAGCCTTTTGACTTTAATATTCAGTACCGCCCGGGTAAACAGAATGGGAATGCCGACGGGTTGTCAAGACAAACTGACCTGGAGAAATGATCCGTGAGTCCCCGGACATCCCCAAGCCGATCCGTGTTGGATCAGACTGTGTATGCCGGCTTGTGGGCAAGGGGGAGCAGTGTAGCGGATGGCACTGGGCTGTCCTGCAAATGTCTGTGAAATAATTGCATTCGTGTGATCTGTAGTTTCCTATGTGTTTTAAAGCCTTGTATTCTTGTGATTGTTCAGTAGTTTCGTTCCCTTAGTTTATTCGAATGAAACTACCGAACAACCAGACCTCCCCTGTGTGAAGTGTGTCCTCAATTACCCGTTGCAACATTGTTGCGAACGGGTAATTTTATGGCAAGACAGGAGGCTTCATATTTGCTTATCTTTCTTTACTGTAACTCCCAGCAGCAAAGAAATGGTTAACAATGTTGTATGGAAAAATCAACCAATCATAACATATCTCAACTACAATATAGTGTCATCAAACTCCTCCCACTTCCTCTTTCTTTGCTGCTTGCCTCCCAGGTGAGTCTGCTCCAATTACATTGCCTTACTGGTTTAAGTTAATTCAATATTTTTTATTTAAACTTTGTTATTGCATACATAGAATTCATCTTAAAAATTTATTTTTAATTTAATCACCTTTCCCTTTAAATATTTCTTCTTTTTTCCTCACACATATATTATTTTTTCTTATTTCACTGTTTTGTTATTATTGGACTGTTTCTCCTTTAAATTTAGGCGTCCTAACCGGTTTTCAGTGCACGGAGGGTTTTTTCAAACCCTGCCGATTTCAATCAGCTGGCCGCGGCTCTATTTTCTCAGGAGAGCCGCGGCCCATTCTCTGCCTCTCTTCAGCCGCGGACTCCATTTCCCAGAGCCCGCGGCTGCTTTTTCCCGCCATTACCTTTCCTCCCGCCTACCCAAAGCGTCTCTCCTATGATGCGGACCTTTCCCGCCCTTTCAACGGCGGCGATCTCGCGGCGGCCATCTTAAGCCTCAGTGTAACGGCCAACGGCTCCTCCACTGCGGCGCGCAAGTTTTTACAATCATCCTGTGGGTACAGACTTTATTAATAGCTTGTGGAAGGTAGGTTGCTGCCACCTTATATCTCCTTCTCTTTTTTCATAAAGCTCATTAAAAACGATCACTTACTGATCTATCTCCTATCTGTTTTTTCCACAGGCTTTGCCCACACAGGACCATTTTATTACAATCTGGGTGAACCCCTTTCTTTCAATTGTATAATTACAGTGTGGTTTGTTTTTACCAAATTTTGTCATTTTATTTCCCTCATGTGGGTGAACCCCACTTACTTATTTCAAGTACATATTATGTACAATATGTGTGTGGTTGACACCACCTACTGAAAACACTGCTGTGTAAATATTTATGTGGCTAACACCACCTGATTTATTTTTTGAGGGTGACCCCCATTGCTTACTGTACATTATATATACATTATATATATTATTGGTGTAATTTTATAGTGGTGACCCCACCTCAGTAACTGTACAAGATTTCTATTACTCACAATCTGTATTATTGGGTGACCCCCATTAATTGTCCTTTACTATTTTATTGTGCCAAGCATTTGTGGGTGACCCCCATTGATTTTGACGTCTCGTGGGTGACCCCCACCTCATATTTTTTTCTAATTGAGTTGCCTCATCCTTAATTGACACTCTAACACTTATAATCTATATATATATATATATATAGATAGTTATTATATAGGGTTTACATTTATCTTGAAATTGTCATTATGTCAGATCGCCAAGACCCTGCGATTTCTGCTGAACTTAAGGAATGGCTTTTCTCAACTATCGCAGAGTCCATTCCTAAGGCTCTGGCAGCCTACCATGAACGTAATCCAGAGGTACACCCCTCTACACAACAGCCCTCTGATTCTGAGGACTCCCATATCTCCGACCAAGATAACGCCCCGCGCAAGAGACCCTGGAAAGGGAATAGCGCTACTGCGGGCAAGGGCAAAGCTCCTGCTAAGGTCGTTAAACACTCTAATCCATACGTTTCGCAGGATGCTACAGACCCTCTAGAGGGTTCTACTTCACGTTTATCTGGCCATATTCTAAGTGACTATGACCCCAATTACTCTGATGAGGATCCCATGGTGAATGTGCCCCAGGATTCCTCAACATCGAAGTTCGTGAAAGAAACCTTCCTAAGTCAAGATCACAAGAGTAAGGTACCTGACTCAGACACCCTCCTGGATGCTTCAGGCCTTCCCCTTTTTGACCCAAGGGTGATACGCCACCCGTGCTCAGCAGAATGGGCTCCCCCAGATCATATTGCTAATTTCTGTAAACTGTGGCTTCGCAAGCCCCTCGAAAAAGAAATCAGAAACAAACTAAGGGCTGAATGCCCGAGACCAACTATCCCAGGCAAAGTTGCCTCTACTCCTGAATTTGACCCCATGCTGGTCACCTATTTAACAAAATCTGGTAAAGACCCTCGTAAGGGTATTGAACAGGGTTTGAAAGCAACCCAAGACAAATTATTGGACATTTCAGGTCCTATCATACAAATATTTATACTCGCAGATGAGGCACTCACCAGCGGTGAATTAGACCCGCATATTATAAGAGAATGGGCACAGAGAGCCCTTTGCCTTCTGGGCAACGCCAATACGGCTATTTCAATTGAGAGACGCAAAGCGGCACTGTACAAAATCGATGCAAACTAGTGGATTTGAGCACTAAAGAACTAGGCCCAGAGGCCGATGGTCTTCTATTTGGTAACAGTTTCATGCGAGACCTCTCCAAGCATGTCTCAGTTTTTACCACACTCAATAAAGCCCAGTCCTCCCTACGTAGGGTGTTCCGTCCCACTACTCAAAATCGTTTTTCTGGGAGAGCTGGTCGCTCAAGGGGCCGAGCTACCAGTAGAGCAGCCTTTACAGGCTACAGGCCCCGACCCACAGAGTATTGGTCCACGGGATACTCACGACCCTACCACAGGCAGCTGTTCAGCACCAGAGGCTCAATTCGAGGACGTGGCTCTGCATCCCTGCGCGGACGCACTGCTTCAGGTAATGGACCTTGCTTATTTAAAAACTGTATCAATCGCAGGTCGATTAACATTCTTTTTCCCACAGTGGAAACTTCTTTCTCAGGATCTTTGGATCCTTCATACAGTCACAGGTTTCAAAATAGATTTTATCACATCCAGTTCAATATTCTCACCCGACACCCTTAGAGATGTCAAAAGCAGACACTCTAACCTTGAACACAGAACTGACAAAATTGGTACACAAAGGGGCGATCGAACCTTCGCCTTTACCTTGCACCTTCCTCAGCAATATATTTCTGGTTCGGAAAAAAACGGGGGACCACCGTCCCATTATCAACCTCAAGGCGTTGAATCGCTTTATCACATACCGCCATTTCAAGATGGAAGGTATCCATCTTCTCAGGGACTTGCTCTGCGTGGGAGACTGGTTCTCCAGATTCGACCTCAAAGATGCTTATCTGACGGTCCCTGTAGCACCAAGTCACCGTGCCTTCCTCCAATTCCGTTGGCAAGGCGACATTTGGCAGTTCACCTGCCTCCCTTTCGGACTTTGTTCTGCTCCATGGTGTTTCACCAAGTTGATGAAACCGGTCATGGCACTCCTTCGTTCTCAGGGCATACGTTCAATTATATATTTGGACGATATCCTGATCATGGCACAAGATCAGCAATTACTTTGCAAACACACACACATGACCTCTGCCCTCCTTCAAAACCTAGGTTTTGTCATAAATTACCAGAAATCAGACCTGGTACCTTCTCCAATAGTCCAATTTCTGGGTTTTCAGATAGATTCAGTTCAATCAACTCTACAGTTGCCCTACTCCAAAATCAAAAACATAAAACGAGAGATTCAAAAATTACTCAAGTCACAACGACCTCGGCTCCGCGACCTAGCACACGTTCTGGGTCTTCTGTCTGCATCAATTCAGGCTATTTTTCCAGGGCCCTTGCATTACAGAGCAATGCAACGGCTGAAAACCTCCTATTTACATCGCTCGACCTCTTACGACCAAATAATTTTCATAACGGACGAGGTTCTCATCGAACTTCACTGGTGGCTTCGCAATATGGAAGCCTGGAATGGGAAAGCGATTTTCGGATCTCAACCAGATTTTATTCTGGAATCCGATGCCAGCCTACTCGGTTGGGGCGCTACGTGCGCCCAATCATACACAGGAGGTCTCTGGTCCCCGTCAGAACAAGCACTTCACATAAATTGTCTCGAGCTCATTGCCGGATCCTTCGCGATCCGCAGCTTTGCCAAAGAAGCCTCCAACTGCTCTCTGGTACTTCGGATGGACAACATCTCCGCAGTACGATATGTAAACCGACTCGGAGGGTCCAAATCGAAACTGCTGTCAGATCTCACCAAGGATCTGTATCAGTTCTGCTTAGACAGGAATCTGTCTATTCGGGCCGAATATCTCCCAGGACCCGACAATTTGATCGCGGACTGGTTTTCACGTCATTGGAAAGATGCCAGCGACTGGCAATTAGATCCTCTTCTATTCCACCACATTCACCTATTGCGGGGACTGCTCACTCTCGACCTCTTCGCGTCTCGGCTGAATCGTCAAACAGACGATTATTTCAGCTGGTTACCAGACCCTCTATCCCTAGCTGTCGACGCTTTTCTCCAGCATTGGCCACGGAGCGGAGCCTATGCCTTCCCTCCTTTCTCCATGATTCAACGTACTCTCCACCAAGTCAAATCACAGGGGGTCAGGATTGTGATAGTTACCCCTCTATGGCGGGCCCAGACGTGGTTCCCCACTCTTCTGGAACTTTCCACAGACTACCCCATCATTCTGCCTCGCTCACATCGGGTTCTCAAGAACTCAACGGGCGACTACCATCCACTAGCCCTACAGGGCCATCTTCAGTTAGTGTCCTGGACAGTTTCAGGGGTGCTTGGCATGTCGCAGGACTTTCAAGCACTGCTCAAACACTCCTATGGGATTCATGGGCACCAGGAACCAGGCGCACCTATCTCGCCGCATGGCGAGTTTGGGTCGGCTGGTGTCTGGAGAGGGATTTCGATCCCGTTTCAACATCTCTCTCATCCATTCTAAATTTTCTATCGTCCCTTTTCGATCAGGGTAAATCATACCGATCGATTAATGTTTTTCGTTCCGCCATTTCGGCGGGACATGACCCTATTGATAATTCCTTAGTTGGGAAACATCCTTCTGTGTGCAGACTTTTACGAGGCATTCGTTTGACGAGGCCACCTTCTGCCAAATACTCTGGCTTCTGGGACATATCTCGAGTCTTCGCATTGTTAGAGTCCTGGCCTCCTAACGAGGCCTTATCCCTTCGACAGCTCTCTGCAAAATTGGCCCTGCTACTGTGCCTGGTGTCATTCCGCAGAGTTTCTGACGTTCACGCTGATTCACACGCTGTCTCCTTCACACCAGAAGGGGTCCGATTTACGATTACTAGGCGCACTAAGACGAATTCCTCGTCTGTTTTTTACCCATACTTTCCCGACAGGCCAGCCCTCTGTGTGGCTCTGTGTACTCGTTGTTACACAGAGGCAACTGCCGCCCTACGTTCTCCTACCGGTCCCCTTTTCATCTCTTATGTCAGACCCCACAAACCGGTCTCTTCCCCCACTATCGCTCGCTGGATAAGATGGTTACTTATCCAAGCGGGAATCGATAGATCATTTGGGGCCCATTCCGTTAGGGGAGCGGCCGCATCCTCTGCCTTTCGGGCCGGCAGTTCATTAGCGGATATTTTGTCCTGCGCAGATTGGTCAAAGGAATCTACCTTTCGGACTTTTTATTTTAAACCAACACAAACACATGCGGCTTGTTCTATTATTCGAGAGCGTTAAAACAGCAAATATGAAACCTTCTGTCTTGCCATAAAATTAGGGATTATTCTAGCTTTTAGTGAACGAATAATCTGAATTTTATTAAAGACAGGAGGCGAATATTTTCCCTCCCTTCGTTCATTCCGGAACCCACCCTCGAGGTAAGTCTCATACTCAATAATTAATGTATGATACCATTATTTACATACAAACCTGCTATATACGACTTGCTCACCTTTGTGGTTATACACCTATCTCATAGAGTACTGATAGATCTTTATAATTTTGATTATTCTGCCAATTCGTATGAACTATAATTGGAAATAGGGGGTTCAACTATATATATTTTTTCTCTTGTCCGAGAAACCTTACTTTCACGAAGTCTCTCTTTTCTTTTAGTGTGAAGATCTCAAGTTTATTCGATCAACTTTCCGTTTACATGGTTGACTTCATCTCGAGTTCAGCTTCGGGAACTGTTCCGGTTAAAGTTTACATGGTTGACTTTGCTACTGACTGGCAACATCAAGAAAGAGGAAGTGGGAGGAGTTTGATGACACTATATTGTAGTTGAGATATGTTATGATTGGTTGATTTTTCCATACAACATTGTTAACCATTTCTTTGCTGCTGGGAGTTACAGTAAAGAAAGATAAGCAAATATTCGCCTCCTGTCTTTAATAAAATTCAGATTATTCGTTCACTAAAAGCTAGAATAATCCCTAATTGAACAGTAAGTAGCCGTCCTTTGTTCTCGGGGGTGGCCGCCATTCGACAAACGAACACGTGGCGGCGGCCATTTTAAAACTCCCGAACAGCGGTGTTTAGCCGTCGAGTGTCTGGAACTAAAATCGGACACTTGAGTAGGCGAACACCGCTGAGACCTCCACAGCCCTGGTCCGTTCGGTTCCAAACTACCGAACGGCCCCTCGTTCGGTAGATAGAGAATACCGAACGAGGGGATTCAGGCGAACCCTCCCTAGCCTCTATAGCTAGAGGTTTTCGTGTATTTTATTCCCTTATGCCAGGACCGACCGCAGGGCCCATTCACATGGAACCGAATTCGGCTATCTCAGTTCGTGCGGTCGGTCATTTTATTCCCTCCATACTTTTCCCGAACCCCTGGTCTGATCTGGGTGGTTTTTGGATATGTTGTTCACCCAGATCAGGGCTACCAGGGGATGTAGGATTTAAAGAGGTACCCCTACGTTTAGGGGTACATCCAGAAACGGGGGGAATTGGTGTACTGGATAAGGGGATTATGATGCTGGCTGAGGGGAGGAGATGTGTGGGAGGTTACCAGGACAGGATTGGCTACTGTAATAATTACTGTAATCCCTCCCTTGCATGGGAGCATGCTTTATAAGGAGACTGTGATTAAAGGCTTGTCAGTTCTGCTCCTGAAACTGTGTGTCGTCCAGTTATTGGGATTGCTGTGGGGAGATTGCTGTTATTTTACCTGCTGGAAACTTTGCCTATGGATTTATTATTTACTTGTTCCTGAGCCTCACTTGGATTATAAGCGGAGACAACCTGGGGAATATTGCATCTCCGCTACAGTCTTTGTCCTGGAGATAATTGAATTACTTCTCAATTATCTCCAGGGCAGAGGGGAGGAAACCATATTGCATTGTGGGAAAAGTTTGTGCCTGTATGTCAGAAATGTCTATGTGTCCATCTGCCATCACAGTCTCCCATTTGGTCCCCTAGGGGAGTGTCCACCAAGTGGGAGACCTGCATAAATACGGGCGGGTAGCCCACAGTAAAGCCAGATCTTGTTTTACCCTCAATGCTCAGTCAAAGCTTAGTCTCGTTATTGGGGGGATTTATTACCGACGACTAGAGACTGACTGCTGGAGCCGAAAGCCGCTTGGTGGATATATTTGTTCGGGAGAATACCGCTTCCCCTGATGGTGGTTTGTATATAGGAGTCTATGCAAACGGAGATAGTGAGATTGCGAAGGGGGAAGCTTAACTAAACGGTGGTTTCCCTCACAGGCACCAGGGGTGTCTTAACAAGTATAATTTATAGTGCAACCAGTGGAGGAACTACCGCGGTTGCAGCGGCGACCAGGCCTGTCACTGCAGGGGGCCCGGCAGCCATGTAATGCGGCCCTCGCCTGAATGGTAGAACCGCCGGGGCCACACATTTAGGGGCCCATCGGGTGGCCCATGCTGTTACGGCCACCCAATGGGAATTAATTCTTGTGATGAGGTCAGAGGTGGGAGGAAGTGACAGCCCCAGTCACTCATCCCAGCAACAACCGAGCCATGCGGGAGGAGGAAGAGGAGGGAGTCAGAGTGGGATCTCTGACTCCCATCAGCCTGAGCAAGCCACTGGACCCTTGGGAAGTCACCCTCCTGAACCTAAATGGTAGGAAACAGAATGGCCACTAAACCATTTTGCATGTGTGTGTGTGTTTGTATGTGTATATCTGTTTTTCTGCATGTGTGTCCGTTTGTCAGTGTGTGCCCTATGTATCTGTATGTGTGTCACTGTTTGTATCTGAATGGTTGTCCTTAAGTGTCTGTGTATCCGCATGTGTGTCAGTGTTTGTATCTGTAGGAGTGTCATTCTGTGTATCTCAATGTGTGTAATTCTGTGTGTCTGTGTATCTGCATGTGTGTCTGTGTATCTGCATGTGTCTGTGTATCTGCATGTATGTCAGTGTATGCAGGGGCGTTTTAGCCGCGAGGCAAACAAGACATTTGCCTTGGGCGTCATTTTCCAGGGGGCGGCAAAAAACGCTGCCCCCCAAATGCCCAGGGCAAATGCCTTATTAGCCTCACGGCTAACAGACATGCTGAGCGGGCGGCTGCTGGCGAGGGAGCTCTTCCTCTGAACGGTCTGCTGAGCTCCCTTGCGCCGCAGAGTGAGGCTGGGAGCCAGGTTGATGACATCATATTCCGGCTCCCAGGCTCACTGGGAGTCGCGCAAGGGATCTGAGCAGGCCGCTCAGAGGAAGTGCTCCCTCGCCAGCCGCCCGCCTGCCTGCCCGCCCGCCCAGCGCCCAGCAGCTACTGGACCCCAGGGAGAGAGGGAATCCCCCCACCCAGCATTCCCAAAGGTAAGGAGGCTGGGGGGGGGGTTAAAAAAATAAATGTGAGTGTGTGTCTGTGAGTGTGTCTGTCTGTTAGTGTGTGTGTGTGTGTGCGTGTGTCTGTTAGTGTGTGTGTGTGTCTGTTAGTTGGTGTGTGTCTGTTATTGTGTGTGTGAGTGTGTCTGTGAATGTGTCTGTTAGTGTGTCTGTTAGTGTGTGTATGTTAGTGAGTGTCTGTTAGTGTGTGAGTGTGTGTGTGTCTGTCAGTGAGTATGTCTCAGTGAGTGTGTCTGTCAGTGATTGTGTCTGTTAGTGTGTGTGTCTGTTAGTCAGTGTGTCTGTCTGTTAGTGAGTGTGTGTCAGTGAGTGTTTGTGTCTGCTAGTGAGTGAGTGTCTGTGTCTGTTAGTGAGTGTGTCTGTCTGTTAGTGTGTTTGCCTGTGAGTGTGTGTGTCAGTGAGTGTTTGTGTCTGCTAGTGAGTGAATGTCTGTGTGTGTCAGTGAGTTTGTGTTTTTGTTAGCTAGTGTATGCGTATCTGTCAGTGTGTGTGTGTGTGTGTGTGTGTGTGTATTTAGAAGGCGGGGCGGGGGGAAGGGATGGGTGGGGTTCGCTCGCACGTGGGAGGGTTGGGGTGGCGCCGGAGTTTTGTCCTGCCTAGGGCAGCACAAAACCAGAATACACCACTGAGTGTATGTGTTATATGCTGTGTATCTGCATGTACGTCAGTATGTGTTTGTCTGTTAATCTGCATGTGTTTCAGTGTATGCATCTGTGTAACTGTCACCCCCCTTTACCCTGCCACACTCACAATAACTCCATGCCATACTCACCTCCCATCGCTCTGCCATATTCATCCTATTACACTCACCTTATCTAGCACTGTCACACTCACCCCCCCAAACCTGTCACACTCATTCTCCATTTCTCTGTCACACTCACCCCCTTTCACCCAGTCACACTCACCCTATCATATTAACCTCTCCAATACTGTCATACTCATCCCCCCAACCATGCCACACTATGAATGAAAAACACATAGAAGGACTGGGGGGGTGTGAATGTGACATATGGCGGGGTTAGGGGGATTAGACATATGGGGGGGGGGTCCGTGGTTACTAGTTACACCTCTGAGCGCAACACTTATTTTTTTGGCTTTTGGAAAATTAGACATGTGGCTGATCAGTAAAATTAATTTGCCAACATGTTGGTGACGTGTCTCTTTAACCCCTTTTTTCCACATTTAACAGATAATGAGTGTGGCCTGGATCCAGGGATTCTTACTGATTCCCATATAACAAAAGTGGAGCTTGGTTGCTTTAATGATCCAGGCACAGTATGGTATTGTAGTATTGCCAATAAGTGTCCCATAATATGCCCACTATGACTGTGAGCTGTCTGAAAAAGATCTAGTTCGGGAGCAGGCAACCTTTGGCACTCCTGATGTTGTGGATTACATCTCCCCTGATGTTTTGCCAGCATATGGCTGTAAGAGCAATATTGGCTATGGGATGTGTAGTCCACAACTTCTGGAGTGTCAAATGTTGCCACCCCTACAGTTAATAGTGTTTTTCCATCCATCTCCCATGTATGCCATATCTGTGTCATTGGCTTCCGAACGGTGATCTTCATGTCCTTTCTCTCACAAAGAATGCTTTTTCCTATTGAATAATAAATGCATTTGTGTGTGCAATGTGTATTATTCCAAATCCATTATGCAGAATATGGTTTGTGTACAGTCTACACTGCTGCTTTCAAATAACCACAAAACTAGAATTTAAAGAAGACAATCTATAGGTATCTGTGATGAGAAGGGATATGAGGAATAAGAGGATTGACAGTGAAGAGACAAATCAGATGACAACATAAAAATCGTACTCTTTAAGAACCCAAATATAATTACAATTAAACTCCAATATAGAGCCCTGTCTTTGGACGCCGAAAAAGCGTTCAACAGGGTCGGATGGGGCTACTTGAGTGAGGTCCTAAATGCCTTTGGGTTTACAGGTTGGATACATAATGCAATATCGGCTTTGTACACTTTTCCCTCTGCTCGAACTGTAGGGCCAAATATAACTGCGGGCTGGTTTGAACTTAAAAATGGTACTCGTCAAGGGTGTCCTCTTTCCCCTTTGCTTTATATTTTATCTCTTTAGCCTTTGGCCATAAATATTAGGAATAATCCATTGATTAAAGGTATACATACGAAATTTGCGGATATATAAATATCATTATACGTGGATGATGCGTTAGTTACTCTCTCATCTCCAGAGGCTTCTTTACGTTTCCTAATGTATGAAATTGATAGATATTCCAATATTTCAAATTTTAAGTTAAATATTACAAAATCCACAGTATTGTTTCTGAATATGAGTAATGATCAGGTAAACACCTTATCCCAGACATATAAATGTATATGGACAGATAAAGAAATAAACTATTTAGGTTTAGTTACAACTGCTAATGTTTCTAGTATTATGGAGAGAAATGTTTGGATCCTTATGAAAAATATGAATGTTAAATTAAAAAAATGGAAAAATCTTGAAACTTCCTGGCGAGGTAAAATAAATATTATCAATGTATACATTCTTCCCAAGTGGCTTTATTTGTTTTCCATGGTCCCATTGAAGGTTCCTAGACCCTGGTTAGCATTGATTCAATCAAGTTTTAATAATTTAATCTGGAATAATAAGAAACCTAGAATTAGTCAGAAAATTTTAACAAAAAAATTGACTAATGGCGGTCTAAATTTTCCTAGTATTATCTATAGTTATTATGCAAATATTATTAGGCACATATATATCTTACAGGATCCTAAACTGGCCTCTGAACCATGGTTTATTATTGAGTCTGCACGGGCTCATAATGAAAATTTACAATACTCTATGTGGACAGTTACTAGGCCTATCTTAATGAATTCTTCTTCAACAAATTTATTGACATTATCTCAAACTTTGGAAGAATGGTTAAAAATAAAGAAAAAAATGGGCCTTAATAATCTTATACCTAAGTCGTGTAGACTTGATATAGTGGAAATAATTATAAAAGACTTCTCGTTAAAGAATTGGGTCAATGTTGAAAACTTAAAGATCGCAGATATTATGCAGGGGGACAATGTAATGTCTTTTCAATCCATTATAGATACTCTTCATATACCATGGAGAGAAATTTTCACCTATCTTCGTTTAAAACATTTCATTCCTAAAAATGTTATCAACTCTTCTTCTTTATTTGCCAAAAAAATAGAATTTATATTTAGCAATCATTCTATTAAAAAGGTTACATCTGTTGCAGCTTCCATGTTGGAAGGTCTTAAGGAATCTCCCTACAAATTGATTAAGATCTGGGAACAGGAATTGGAACTGGAGATTCCTCTGGAAGATTGGTATTCCTCCTTAAGTCATTTAAATAAACACATTCATTGTTTAAATTTGTCTGAATGCCACTTTAAGGTCCTTTATAGATGGTATTATACTCCAACTAGATTAGCTAGAATGTATGATTCCTATGACCCTACTTGCTGGAGATGTGGTAGTCATCCAGGTACATATATCCATATATGGTGGTCATGCCCCGCTGTTAGACCTTTATGGGTTTGGGCTTTTAATATCTTTATGACTATGCCAACAGAATTTTGGAAAACGCTGTCTCTGCTCTCTTGCATCTCAATTGGAATCTTAAAATACAAAAAGATATTTGTTTTGCCACTCATTGTTTAGTTGCTGTTAAAATTATTATTGCGAGACATTGGAAATCATCAAAGCCGTTTCAGAAACGGATTCTGATTAATCAAATCATGTTCCAAATTTCAATGGAATATGACTTGATTAATAATACTATTTTTAAATCGAAGAAAAAAGATTGGTATTATGAATAGTTAAAAAAATATAAGGGACTATATGGGCAATCTCCTTCTGATACAGATTCTCTTTATTAAACTAATATTGGACATATTTAATAATATTTTATTATCACATAAAATAGTACCGAATTATACTAAAACTATATAATCATAATTTATTTATGGTGTACTAAAAATTATCTGGAAATGTCAAGAGATACATTAATATGGTCACAGTTACATGTTTTATTAATTTTTTTTTTTAAAGAAATTCTCTTGCTCGGAATAGGGTGATGGGTACTGTACTCCTGTACTACTGTACTCCTGTTTTTTTTTTGTTTTTTTTTGTTTCGTTTGTTTGTATTTGTTTTTGGACACTATGTGATCATGTTTCATGTTTCGAAAAAATTAGAGGATGTATAATGATGTAATACGTTTAATAAGATATGTAATTATGTTACTATTTATTTGTCTGCTGCATATCTCATGAATTTGATTGCAAGGTGCAGTATATTTGTTGTATATGGAAAAATTTGCTTCAATAAAAATTAATTAAAAAAAATAAATAAACTCCAATATAGAGCATGGTTTGTATCTGGTTCTCAAAGTGTGACTGTTTTCTCTTGTTATACTCTTGAGTGATTTTGTCTCCGCAAATTTCATAGATCTATATATATATATATATATGAAAAGGACACTGCTACTGTCACTTGAGGGGGCTTTTTGTCTTTTCTTTCTTTTTTTTTGGCACAACCGTCATTTTACAGTGTGGTGTCTGCAGGTGAAGTCACCAGGAGCCACAGCATCTACAGTATCTGTTCAATGGGACGTCACGAAGAGTGTGGTTCGGCCATCCTTCTATCAAAGAAACATCACTGACAGTGAATCAGTTATAAGGACTTTTTTGAGTATCAATAAGGATTCTGGAATAGGGGAGTTATATGTCCAATATTTATAAATTTTCTAATTATACATTATATCAATAAGCAGATAATGGCTTTTCCATTTAGCTGTCAGCTAGTTTGTTTATTAGGCAAGTATCCATTTTTGAAGTACGATAATAGGAATATTTGAAATCAATAAACGTGTCTCGTGATATCCTCCATGCTCTGTTACAGGTGCCTATACATAGAATGAAGAATGTTCGTTTCATTTCCCATCAGAAAGAGTTCCAGCAGACACAGTTCTAACTCTGTGAGAGTAGAAAAACAAAACGTTGTTTATGGTTTACCAGAGAAGTGACCAACCAGTGTTTATTCACTAAACGGTTAATTATAGTGACATGAAAACTGAATTGCAAAATTATTGCAAAAATTGACAATTTGGCATTACAGGAGTGTTGCAAAAATTTTCCAAACCATCACTTTTTGCCTGAGTTTTGCAATTATTTTATTTATTACAAATTAGTCTATAGTACCCCACTCCCACACCATATGACAAGATACAGTTGAAATAGTATGATCTTTAAGAACAATGGCAGCACTGCAAAGTCTGTTATACAACAATCAATAACATTAATCTTAACCCCTTAAGGACTAAGCCAAATTTACACGTTTTGATCAAAATAAAACATAAACAAACCTTGGAATTTGACTATATGTCTGTTCAACCGTAATTCACCTCTTTCATATTAAGTGCACCCACACTTATTATATATAATTTTATTCAGGAAAAATAGGGCTTTCATTTAACATCAATATTTAGCTATGAAACATAATTTAATATGAATAAAATATAAAAAAAAGTGAGAAATTAAGAAATGTTATTTTTTTAGTTCTGCATGACATTTTAACTGTGAATGTCATAATACTGTTTGCTTTTACTGCAATAAAATACACATATTTGTATTCAGCAATGTCTCACATGTAAAACAGTAGTCCCTATGTACAGGTTTTATGGTGTTTTGGGAAGTTACAGGGTCAAATATTGCATGTTACATTTTTCAGTTTTTTCACATTGAAATTTGCCAGATTGGTTACTTTGCCTTTGAGACCGTATAGTAGCCCAGGAATGAGAATTACCCCCATGATGGCATACCATTTGCAATAGTAGACAACCCAAGGTATTGCAAATGGGGTACGTCCAGTCTTTTTAAGTAGCCACTTAGTCACAAACACTGGCCAAAGTTAGCGTTAATATTTGTTTGTGTGTGAAAAATGCAAAAAACTAATTTGAATGCCAATTTGGGCCAGTGTTTGTGACTAAGTGGCTACTAAAAAAGACTGGACATACCCTATTTGCAATACCTTGGGTTGTCTACTTTTGCAAATGGTATGCCATCATGGGGGTAATTCTCCTTCCTGGGCTACCATACGATCTCAAAGGCAACATAACCATTCTGGCGAATTTCAATGTGAAAAAACTGAAACACAAACCTTATATTTGACGCTGTAACTTTTGAAAACACCATAAAACATGTACATGAAGGGTACTGTTATACTCAGGAGACTTCGCTGAACACAAATATTAGTGTTTCAAAACCGTAAAACGTATCACAAGAATTATACTGTCAGTGTAAGTGCCATTTGTGTGTGAAAAATGCAAAAAAGTAAATTTCACTAATGATATCATCGTTGTAATACATTTTACTGTTTTGAAACACTAATATTTGTATTCAGCGAAGTCTCCCGAGTAAAAAAGTATCCCCCCACATGCAGACTTTATGGTGTCTTGGAAAGTTACAGGGTTAAATATAGTGCTAGCAAATGAAATTCTCTGGACTTTCTGCCTGGGTGATCAGGCAGGTCCCGCATATGTAATTAATAAAATTACTTTATTATGTAAGAATATTACATAAATATATATGTAGAATTAAAATACATATAATTTTTTAAAATTATTTTTATGTATAGGTATATATACATATATATATTTATGTATATAGATATGTATATTATTTTGTTTTAAGTGTATTTTGATACCAATATATATATATATTAATATCAAAATACAGTTAGAATGAAATTACACACAAATATATATATTTACAAATTATTTTTTATTATTTTTCATTTTTAACGTATTTATATATTTATTTATTATATATTATTGCCATTTATATAGCACCAACAGATTCCGTAGCGCTTTACAATATTATTAGAGGGGGGATGTAAATATAAATAGGACAATTACAAGAAAACTTACAGGAACAATAGGTTGAAGAGGACCCTGCTCAAATGAGCGTACAGTCTATAGGAGGTGGGGTATAAGACACATAAGGACAGGAAATATCAGTCGAATAAGGTGGGTGTGAAGCAGAGCTGGGGGAGAGAGTAAAGTGCTGCCCTATAGGAGAGAGCAAGAGACAGGTATGTAAGGTAGAGGTTACTCTGGGAGGCCAGTTTTAAGGCACTTCTTAAAGGATTGAAGACTGGGGGAGAGTCTGATGGGGGTAGGCAGACTATTCCATAGGAAGGGAGCCGCCCGCGAGAAGTCCTGCAAGTGCGAGTTGGCTGTACGGGTGCGAGCAGCGGTCAGGAGGTGGTCATGGGTTGAGCAGAAGGAACAAGGAGGGGCATACCTATGGATCTGTGAAGAGATATGAGGGGCTAGAATTGTTCAGTGCTTTATATGTATGGGTTAGCACTTTGAATTGACTCCTATAGGATACAGGGAGCTAATGTATGGACTGGCAGAGGGGTGAGGTGTGAGAGGACCGGCTAGAGAGGAAAATCAGTGGTGGCGGCATTCATTACAGACTGTAGCGGGGCAATATGGCTTTTGGGGAGACCAATTAGGAGAGGGTTACAATAATCCATGCGGGAAATTACTAGAGCATAGACAAGCTCCTTGGTAGCATCTTGTGTAAGAAAGGGGCTGATGCGTGCTATGTTTTTAAGTTGGAATCTACAGGATTTGGCAACAAAGTGGATGTGAGGCTCAAAGGTGAGGCCAGAGTCAAGTATGACGCCAAGATAGCGTGCTTGCAAGGATGGACTTATGTGGATATCACTGACTTGAAGGGAGAGCGAAAGAGGAGAATCAGTATTAGGAGGAGGAAAGACAAGAAGTTGAGTTTTAGAGGGATTGAGTTTCAGAAAGCGCGATGACATCCAGTCAGAGATGGAAGAAAGTTCCATCTGTGACACGTTGCAGGACGGCAAGGGAGAGGTCCGGGGAGGAGAGATATATTTGGGTGTCATCAGCGTACAGGTGGTAGTGGAATCCAAAAGATGCTATAAGTTTGCCAAGAGAGGCAGTATAAAGAGAAAATTGAAGGGGACCAAGGACAGAGCCTTGGGGAACACCAAATGAGACAGGACGAGGGAAGGATATATCCTTGGAAAAGGAGACACTGAATGAGCTTTGGGAGAGATAAGAGGAAACCCATGAGAGGACAGAGTCACAGAGACCGAGCGATTGAAGAGTTTGAAGAAGGAGAGCATGATCAACGGTGTCAAAGGCAGCAGAGTGGTTAAGGAGAATTAATATGGAGTAGTGACCTTTGGATTTAGCTGCGATTAGATCATTAGTAACTTTGATAAGAGCAGTCTCAGTAGAGTGGAGAGGGCGGAAGCCAGAC